GTTCCGGCAGCGTACGGGCACAACTCCACTAGGAAAATTTTCGAAAGATCACTGGGCTTGAAGGCCCCTTGCGCGGAGAGGGGTGTAATCATACACACACATCAGCCGGTTTCGTACTGTTAAATTTCCATCTTTAATGAACTGCACTTCGTCGTAGTCCGAAACCTTAAAGGACACAACGTTTCCAATAGTACAGTTTGATAACTACAGAGGCAGCGATACATTCTTTGTACACTATACTGGCATACCAATCGCAACTTTCAACAACATTTGGAAGCCCGCCCGTTTTGTCACTTCGACTTTTAAGCAGGCTTCTCTGCTGTCTTCTAGATATTCCGAAGCGTGGCCTAGAAACTTCAGCGAGACAAATATGTAACACTTGCTGCGTTTGTTGCAATATTGCTGTGACGATCTGTCGTTAAATTCTAGTCGTTGTGCATTCGACGTCACAAGTATCGGACAATAGGTTTGCTCCACCACCGAAGCGCTCTTTTTTTCGATTTGATCGCAGCAGCGGTTGTTAACAACGTCGACATTCCTTGGTGGTAGTCACTGACACGCCAGTGAGCTAAAATATCTCTCCATTCCGGGTCATTCTGGTGGCGCATGTTTTTGTTGAACATGACAACATCATTTATTTCGTGGTAAATGACAATACCCCTTTACAGCAAGAAGTAGATAGTGGCATCATAATCTTGGCTCCGCTTCGGGTTTTCTCTAGGCTGTTGAGGCTCCGACACTAACTTAAAGCAGTGATGAGCCGCTACCGGTAATTGCTGTAACCAGTCCCCAACAAAAATCATATGTATACTCCCGAATCGCAAATTGGGTTTGTTGTTTAGCTCACGAAGCGCTATGTCCATCTTCCCTACAACCTCAGCTATTGTCGTCGAAATTTCAACCATAATCTGCGTTTTCACACTTGTATATTGTTTCTTCAGCTTTGCACTATATCTCTTCTTGTTTCCCTCCCTGGTTTGAGACCCCATTGAAATAACTTATGCAGCGTTTGTCCGTTAACCGCTTCCGCTGCTACACCTTGGAATGCAACTGTCTTTATGGCGCCAAGACTTCCACAAGATTCTGCTAGTGCTTGTAATGCGCGGATGACTTGACTTTTCCCCGACCCACCAGATGATACTGATCAGGTTTTGATTGGAATCGATGAATTAGACGCTCAGATACCGGAAGCTGTTAAATTGTTGCAGTTGTGGGAAGAACGGTCCGGTCGTTTGGAATTGGTTATACTGATCGATGATATCCCAACTCAAGTGCACTTGCTGAACGGTGCGCTTTTTAGCGCAGAACAATGAATAGACCGGCCAAAGTTTAGTGGTATCAAGCCAGAAAAGAGCTGAGTCTTCAATCTTTGCTGCAAACTATGTCGGAGCATTTTAGTCTCGACGAGAAGCAACACAAAGCTTTGCTTGTTTTGGAAAGATGTTTATTTTTGTTCGTTTTGGAAAGATGCGTCTGCGGTCAGTGTTTGATGCATATTTCGGTGATAATTGAGCAAAATATTGATTACTTGGGATGTTCTCCGCTGGAAAGATGGTGGTTCAATGCAATCTCTGTACCGCTGCAGATCTGGGTCTTCACACTGCCGCGCTAACTCTCCCGATACGTAATAGTAATTAGAGAACCGTAAAAACTGATGGGCATCGTTCCACCAGTTTTCAAATATCAGTTGCTCCCCACAACCATCGCTGGTTCCAAAATCTTGTACCCGGCGAAATGGATGGAATAGAATAAGCAACGCTCTTCTAAATTCTTGTTGCTGCTCGTCTGGTAAGTCATTCCTCCTCATATCTGGAAGTCGCTTCCCAACAAGCACGCAATCGTCAGAGATGATCGTTCATGCAATGTGTGCGACTCACGGCATAAGTGGTCACCCAAAAACGTGCAACTTTTTCTATTCTTTTACTTTTCTCAGCGACATGTAAAATGCATCAAGCCAACGTTGTCAAGCATACGCGGGCGGGGTATACAATCCAATAAGAGACTCGATGGCGTGAGCGTTGAATTGATGCTAAAAGTGCTTCAGTTGGCGCATTCTTGAATATAGGATCGGCACACAGACGAACATGGATGTTTGCCAATTTATGGGAGCTGTAAAGAGGCGACTCGCGCTCAAGATAAAAAGCAGCGAGTGGGGGCGACCACATCCTGAGCATTAGACATCGTGTAGCACATGGACTGCACACAACACCTTCCAGTCGCAATTGCATCGTCACACCTAGTCGTACGCAACAATGCCTTGTCATAAGCATGCATATGGATGACCACGGAAGTTCAATACTCACTTGATCTTTGGCTGTGTACTTTATCGTGTAGTAAGCTTTCTCAGGGTCTAAACAGTTGCCATACACAAATTAGCTGTTATTTCTTGCTGTAGCATGAATCAGTCTTACCTTCGGCAGCAGTACAAAACTTAACGTCCTGGTTGCATTTGAAGACGCTGTTCACCAATGGTACGTACGTGTTCAGGTACTCACTACTCACACTTCGTCTGAATTGCAAGGTATCTTCGCCAGCCCACTTTGCACTCATACATGTTTCCTTTGGAAAAAACATTCGGCGGATTTTTCCATCTGGTGTTCGTCTAGTCCTTCAAAAAAACATGATCGACTATGGTATCAGTGATACTGAAGCAAAGCACGACTCAGCGTCGGGTTTGGTAACGTGTCTTCAGCGAGAGTGGCATGTACAAGTACTTGTCTACGTTTGTTATGCTCGTTCTTAGTCGGAAGTGTTGGGTCGGTTAGCTGGTCGATGACTTTTGAAGATTGTTCCCGATGATTTCCGCTGGCTACGCGGTGAACCTCGACGACCAAGTGAAAATCGCGAAGAATAATGTTGTCATGGAGAAGACGGTCATCATGTATTCACACGGGCTACGTGTCGTGGTTTTACCAGCGCAAAAGAAGTGGCGACATATTCCTCTCAGTGGTCCAAAAATATGCCTTGCAGTACGACACTGCACGCGTGGTGGCCCTGCCTGGTAATTATCTGCTTCGCATCCATATCGACAACCCATCAATGTCCCCAATAACTACAAGACGCATCGAGCTAGAGACTTCGAGTTGTTTTTATGTCGATGACCAATAAACAGGGCGATACGCCTGGAACGTCTACTTACAAATCAACGCGCTCCAGTATGTTCGATTTGTATCATGGACACAGACACACAATGCCTGGAGATTTTGTGCGCTTGTGAGCATTGATGTTGTGGTGTTCCAGACAAAAGATTCGACCCGTATATCGTTTTGCAATGGTAGAATCTCTGAAACGTCAAAAAGCGCAAGGAATTGCTACACTTTCGGTGCACGATGATGGAGAAGGAGACGAAGCTTGAGCGAAATACAATTGGGACGCCACCATCGATGAAGTTCTTAGTTTACTACAAACTTTTCTACCACAGCTCTCAATAAGCGATTTCACTACCAATCAGCGTAAACATCACGCTACTATCAATCAGCGTAAATACCGCGAAAGCCAGCTAAAAATGGTCCACTTGCAGGAAATTATATGCAGTCGTCGACAGGCACGTGTTAGCGGTAGATAGCTCCAGCAATTACCAATGCATTGATTGTGACACCTTTTTAATTACTTCTTCTTGGCGACTCGCGGTGTTGGAGGCATCGCGTGCTCGTATTGTTGTTCGGTGATGTTGACTTTAGTGATTTTTGCGATTCATTTTTTCTGTGTGGGGGGGCAGACAAAATCGTGATAGCGTTAAAATAACTGGGATTCTGTATTGGTGACCATTGATCGGCATTCGAACATGTCTGCGTAGACGCAGAACTAAAGAAGTTTTGATACTAAAAACCAACCCAGGTGCAGACAAGTTCAAGTGTGTTAAGTCTTATTGTGGTTTTCACTAGCCGACAGTCGCTGCTTTGCGGCATGTTTGTCTTTAGTACCAATGCTGCGTCCGCTTGCCGAACTACTCGAGCAGTTGGTTGGTAATTTGAGCCGAGGCGGGACCTTCAGTCCCGCAAGGTTGCACAAGGTGTCGATTTGGGCCGCCAAGCGAAACAACCCAGTAAAAAATAGTTTTAGCGAATTGCGGCTGCCTTCGATCCACTCGACAGCCAATCAGAAAGCTTTAAAATTCCAGTGAAATTTGTGACGGAAGGACAGAAACTTGCTAGTTTTGATGTTTAGGAAATATCTTGGCGAATCTGACATGAAAACCACGGCTGTCTTAGGAAAGGTTAGGTTATCTGAGCAGATTGACCGCGTGCTTATCAAGTCCTATGAAAGCGCTGGCCGTCCTGCAAAACGTCGTTAGTCCAATTTGGCGGTGATTGTTCGGCATTCAGGCTTCGAGAGTGAGAGAAGGCCATTCGTATGACTTGAAGCTAACGCATTCGTCGAGATTTATTATGCAACTAGGCCTATAACCGACAACAAATAGGTAATAGATAAACTCAGAGCAGCTTAATCGATACATACAATACTATGTTGCACCAAACACGCATCGCTGTCTCTCCGGGCTCCTCCACGGTCCTGTCACAGATGCCTTCCTTGTGTCTGCAACTGGTTTGTAGAGCTCCAGCCAGAAATCCGATGGAGTGCCTGTGAGATTTGCAAACATACTTGCAATGATTTAGCCACCAACAACCTCAGAACAATAGAGGGTCAAGTCGTACCAAAGACTCGGTAAAATACAGAAAGAAACACTAGAACTAAACGTTGAGAAAGTCCCATCTCCATGCAATGCTGACCTCAATATGGCTACACAAAAGCAAGTGCACATGTCAGCGGTGGGATTTGAACCCACGAGTGCGAACACAGTAGAACTTGAGTCTACCCCCTTAGACCGCTCGGGCACACTGCCGACAAAAAGTACACTCCCACCACAAAACAACACACACGATCACAAACTCACAAAATACTCATATGTAGTAAGAATTTGTTGGACACTGTTTGGATCGTACTTACTTGGATAGATAGTGTAGTATAAACCGCAGTGTCAGACGCCAAAATATAAGGTCATGATGGAAGAGCTCAATAATGAAGTGCAGATGGTGAGGAATAACACCGTGAACGCGAAGTCCAAGAGTGTCTATCTTTATGGAATTATTAAGTACGTCCTGTGGCTCCACGACCACAAGCCTGGAGTAGTTGAGCCTAGTTTACGGGCCCTTTTGGACACAGTCGCTACGGATGACACTACTGAGGCATACAAACAGAAACAGAGCCATGTGAAGCTTTACGTGGAGTCTGATCGTAGAGAACCGCCTTTGGATCTAGTGGATTCTAATGTGCATGATTTCGAGTGCTTTTTGATGTCACTTCGGAAAAAGGACGGCAAGAAACCAGGAAAGTCGCTGTATGGATCAATGAGATCCAGTATTTTCCATTTGTATCGGTTGTACGACGTGCAGATGCCAGAAAACTACGACAACGAGCTAAGGAAGTTCTTTAAGGGCTTAAAGCGCAGCGTGGTTCGCCGTCAGCAGGAAAGTGGTGACAGCCTTGTCGAAGGAAAGATGAATTTTCAATTTTCATTTTACCACAAATTGTGCAAGGCAATGCGTGAGCAACGCAAGAAAAAAATTATTTTTCTCATACCTTTCTTGTTATCTCATGGAACTTAATGTGTCGAGCTGACAACTCCGTTTCGATCCGATACGAGCATCTCGAGTGGGATGAAGACTCGTTAGCTATATGGTTCGGGCACATGAAAAACGACCAAGAGGGGGATCGTCAGCGTGATCCCCGTCACCTTTACGCCAACCCCATGCAGCCTGACATATACCCTATTTATCACTTGCAATTTACTTTGCAGTACTCGGATTTAGCTGGAGCTCGCTATTGTTTCCCGGTCGGAACCAATACGACAGATACAGCCGAAACTTAAAGGCTGTAATGGGAATTACGTCTGTAGCTAAGGAAATGGAATATACTGGGCACATTCCTTCTGATTATGGGTCTCATTCGGCGAGAAAGGGATCTTCTACTTACGTATCTGGGTGCTGTACAAGTGGTCCGTCGTCAGCTTCGGTGTGTTTAAGAGCTGGTTGGAATTTACCTGGGGTACAAGACACATACGTCCGTTATGAAGCTGCTGGAGACGGAGTAGTAGGGCGTTTTGTTGCCGGGCTTCCGTACGAGAACCCTGACTTTGTTGTACTACCTCCTTTCTTCGAAAGTTGTGACGAACAAGTGTGGAGCGGCATTGACGTGTGCTACCCAAACGCACCAGAAAGGTTTAAAAAAAATTGTACATTTCTGTTGGCTTCATTGGCATATCATTCTGATTACTTGAAACAGAGTTTACAAAGTGATCATCTCATTTTCAGTACATCACTGTTTCGGGACACAACATTACTGTCTGAGCTTAAATCTAAAGTGATATGCCGACGCTGGAAACAGGAGACGCTATACGAGCTAGTGGGTTACCCCCACATATCGGAGTAATGGTCAATATGGAAAATCGGTTAGATGCAGTTGATCAAAGTATCGCAGACTTACATGGAGCGGTTCATCATATTCGAGAAAAACTCGTCTCAATGGAGGAGAAATTAGATGACCTGCTTCCGAACATAATCGCCGAAGCTACCAGTCTCCGTCACAATCAAGAAATTGATAACACAATAGAGCCTCGTCACCCGGTTAACACGGCCTTAGTAGATGCAGTTGAAGCCGCATTAGCATCCACTGGTATTTCGCAGATGGTCCGATCTGTCCAAGCAATGCAAAATGAGTCTCACTACATTTACGAAGCTCTAGGAAACGTTGGAGTACTGATTGCTGATAGAAGAGCACGTGTGCCATCTCCCAGAACGAATTTGTCACCGTCAAACGAAGTTATAGTGGAAGGACTTGATTTACCCACCAATTCCGAGAACCAACACTCAGAGCCAGAGGCTCAGCAGAGTTTTTTTTTTTCGAAGGTGACATTGTCAACGGCCTGGGAATTATGGTGGTTTGGTTCTCCGAGTGTGAATATGCCGCCATATCGATCTTTGGTGCATAGCGATCTACCGACTATAAAAATAAGGAAGCGATTGTCAGATTTTCGCTATCTTATGACGAAAATTGAAGCCATCATCTACAGGCAAGCAACCTACATTGATAATCCAACGCTTAGTCAGGCGCGGCAAATGCTGAGAGCAGCCATGACCGAATTGCCAATTCACGATCGCACACAGCACAACTACACAAGACGTGCTGAGCATCTTCAGTGGTCGACGGTAGTGAACATCCTACGAAAACACAGTAGATTACAGAGAGTAAGTAACGAGTAAAACAAGTATAGCAGAACTACACATAGTACGTACATGGTGCTTCTCATGTTGTGTATAGAGTATCGAGAGATACTAAGCCGTGACCACCTTCGCTTCTTGATTGTGGCAGAATGTCGAAACCTTAGCTGTCTTTCTCTTCAGTGTGCCCCAATTGACGAATTTGATGGTAATTAACAGGCTTCCATGGCCGCAGTGTCTTGGTTGATGGATCTGGTGGTTGCTTGGCTGCGGATCGAGCATCTGTGTAGCGTAGATATGTCAAATAGTGAAAAAAAAATAGCAAGCTTAGCGTGGCGATCGTGCGGTCACCGCATCCTCCTGTCGCCTGCGGTCGTGTTTCGCGCAATGTGTTCAATACACAATATTGTGTGCACACCTCGTCCAACTTTTTCGTTTTGCATTCAGAAAACAATAGGACCAGGCTCAGGAATAGAGCAAGGAATATTCGAAAAAGTTGGACGGCCCATCCAACGACCGTCCGACTTGTATCCATTACCCGTCCAACAAATTCAGGACAATCACAAACATATACTACACCACTCGTCATCTCACAAACCACACTACCTCTGCTTTCCAAACCTATTCACAGCGTCACGCACGCTCCTCTACCACC